GTGTCTGTCATGCTCCTTTGCGGTTCCCACATCCTGTGCTGGGAATTGTGGGAACCGCAGGGAGCATGACAGACACATGCCTCCTCCTTCCTCTTCAGTGTTAGTGAGCGGAATGCCGCCGGACCGGCGAGGCTGCCACCCGGTCCGGCGGCTCTAACATGAAACGGCCGCCCCCCCCTCACAGTGTGCCACCGGGTGGCCGGTCCTGCAGTCCCCCCCCAATCCAGCCCTGCCGCCGGGCCCCCTGAAGGCGGCCCTGGCGGCGGGCCCCCCTCCCGGCCGGGCCCTCGGACCGTGTCCGAAGTGCCCGACCGGTCAGTCCGCCCCTGCTAGGGATACATTCAGGCCAGACATTTGGGAAAAATGGGAATGTGGTAAACTTAGAGCTGTGATAGAAGAATGATAGAGATAATTATCAGTGCGGGGGTCTGCTGCAGTATAGCAGGAATTGTGGTTACCTCATAATAAATTAAATGAGTTTGGTAAGACACAACACCTTGCTGTATATATGTAAATGTATTGTTATGCCATAATTAAATGTTTGCTATTGGGATTTTAGACCGTAACAAATGAGTCCAGTCTTTGGAGTTGAGGAAAATTAAAAGAGGAAACAGGCATATTAAAAAGAGGGATATGTTATCTGGCACTGAAGACAATTTAAGATGTGAAAGAATTAACTATCTATAAAATGTAGATTGTAGTATTTAATGTAGCCACTAGATGTCATGCAAGATATACCTACACCCAACTAAAAGTATGAGCAACTACATGTTATGGCAGGAGAGAAGTAATAATGACATGGCGTCTCTTGAGAGAATGCTGGGTAAAATAACGAAAAGTATGGTTAATGCAAGAGCCAGCATGTAACTGAAATATGCAACGTATAATATTGTGTTCTCATCCCCAGCAAGTGCCTGCACAGTCTTATCAAGCTGAGTTTACCCAGTTGGGCAGTAGAGATGGAGACCTGTATCCAAGAGGAGGTTTGGACGTATTACCAAGAAGCACTAAATATTATTACTAGTTGTGTGAGTTCTGCAAATAAATAGACACTTAAATAATTAACTTAAAAATATTTTATGCACTTAAAGACTTTTTAATAGCCCTCTATTGATCTACTCCTATTGCTATTCAGGATGAATATCCAGAAGTGGAATCATTGTGGCTGATGACGCAGGCTTGGAATACAGGGATCTTCCAGTACAGTGTGAAGAAATATACCGATGCAGAACGCTGGTGTGCACTGGCCATGCGCCTGCTTAATTACATTGGGACTTTAAAGAGCAGTTATGAAAACCAGGTGTGAGGGGGAGAATGCAAAAAGGACTTACAATAGACAGTGAAATAGGTTTACATATGATAAAAATGTCAGCGTTAAAAGGAACAGACAGTAACAAATTAATAATTAAGATGAGACATTCTCTGTAATGTTTCATTTTCACTAGCAGAGAATTATTTGCAAAATATGCAAGGACCCACTTACTTCACTTACATGAAGTTGCTCTATTTAGTCATTTAGACTTTTAAGATCCAAACTTGAGCGCTTCTAACTTAATATTACCTCAAACTCATATTACTTTATTATTAAAGGACCACTCTAGGCACCCAGACCACTTCCGCTTAATGAAGTGGTCTGGGTGCCAGGTCCCTCTAGGATTAACCCTTTTTTTTTTTTTTTTTTTAAATAAACATAGCAGTTTCAGAGAAACTGCTATGTTTAACTAATAGGGTTAATCCAGCCTCCAAATCCTCTGAATAGCTGTCTCATTTGGCGGCGCTAGAGAAACGCGTGATTCTCACTGTGAAAATCACAGTGAGAACACGCAAGCGTCCATAGGAAAGCATTGTAAATGCTTTCCTATGAGACCGGCTGAATGCGCGCGCAGCTCTTGCCGCACGTCCGCATTCAGCCGAAAGGGAAGAGAAGAGGCGGAGGGGAGGAGGAGAGCTCCCCGCCTGGCGCTGGAAAAAAGGTAAGTTTGAACCCTTTCCTCTCCCCAGAGCCGGGCGGGAGGGGGTCCCTGAGGGTGGGGGCACAAGTATGTTTTCCTGGCACTATAGAGGTCCTTTAAGCAATCCAATATTCCCAAAGGGTTGCTGTTTCTTCATGCAGCTCTGTGTACCCATGGCAATATGTCACCTTATGATGCTTTAGCATAATGAATTAAAATGTAATTAGTTTAGCATTGATTATATATACAGACAGGGCTCGAGTCCTGCAGGAACGCATGGGAACGGCGTTCCTGCACTTTTTCCACAGCAGGAACGCCGTTCCCGTTACCTCTCCTGCAGGACCGGCCCTGCTACCTGCACTGAGGGGCCAGCACACGCTGTGTTCTCCCTCCAGCTCTAACTCTCGCGAGACCCGCGGCTGTTACCATGGCAACGCTCCGCACAGGCGAGTCTCGCGAGAGTTAGAGCTGGAGAGGGAACACTGCGTGTGATGGCCCCTCTGTGCAGCTGCTGGTTCCCTCCAGCATACCACCGGACCACCAGGCGATCTCCCCCCTCCCTGACAAGGTAAGAAGCAGGGAGGGGGGAATAAAAAAAAAAAAAATATATACATACACATAAAGTTAAAAAAAATGTCCACACACCCATCATCCAGCACTCACACACCCATCATCCAGCACACACACACCCATCATCCAGCACACACACACCCATCATCCAGCACACACACACCCATCATCCAGCACACTCACACCCATCATCCAGCACACTCACACCCATCATCCAGCACTCACACACCCATCATCCAGCACTCACACCCATCATCCAGCACACACACATCATCCAGCACTCACACACCCATCATCCAGCACACA